AGGCGACTGGGTCTTAAGCAGTAATGTGGCCCGTAGGCTTTGGGAGCGACTCGTAGTCCACTCTTCTTGACTTTGCCCATGCCGAAGAGGCGACTAGGTCTTAAGCATTAATGTGGCCCATAGGCTTTGGGAGCAACTCATAGTCCACCTTTCTTGACTTTGCCCATGCCGAAGAGGTGACTGGGTCTTAAGCAGTAATGTGGCCCGTAGGCTTTGAGGTGTCGAGCTGACCAGGTGCCAGGCTACCTGTGAGGTGCCGAGCTGCCTGTGAGGTGTCGAGCTACCTGTGAGGTGTCGAGCTACCAGTGAGGTGCCTTAGAGCTATGATTGCGCTGCATCAGCTTCGTAATGCCGGTCACCCACTCCTACAAGAAGCTATTAGGAGCTCGACCTTCGGGGGCAGCACTACTAACTTTAGGTTGCCAATTCACACGGGAGCCATGGAAGGCTCGACCAGTAAGGGCGCCTATGTAGTCTGTTGGCCGCCAACTCCCGCGAAAGCCACGAAGAGCTCATCTTTGTAGGGGGGACCTTGCGAAGAGGACCGATGAGGCTTTATCCGAATTGAAAGTAAAGTTACTTAGTCTGTTAGCTCCCTGCATAGTCTTTGAGTTCATAAAAAATGTAAACTATAAAGCGAGAGCTTCAATTTCTAAAAAGTGAGGACTTAGCTTTCTGGGAGAAGAGGACTTAGCTTTTGTAGGATGAGAACTTAGCTTTTTGTAGCGTATTCCCACAGACGGCGCCGAGCTGACCGAACTTATTATTATAAAACACATGAAGCAAAACTATATATAACGGAATTGAGTGAGAGTACAGAGCTTATCGGAGCCAGTTCAGTGGAACCTCATCATCAGCTATGTTGGCTTTCGCTCTGCTCAGATCCATACAACAGCAAGAATACAAGACAATGAAATCCAAAAGAAAGAGAAAATCAAACAAGGGGGAGCGATGACAAAGTTACCTGATCGGGTTTTGGCTTGAAACCGAACGATGCACAAGAAAGACTTCGTCCGTTTCAGATAGCTCGTCTGATCCTATTCGATCAATGTCATTGACAGATATCCGTAAACGCCACCATGAA